TTCTGAGGCTCCACCACTGCTCCACCCTTCTCTGAGGCCTCACCCTGCTCACTCCATCTCTCTTCCTCCCCAAATCTCATTCACTTTCACTAGGCTGGGGTTGGTGGTTGTCGTGCAGGCTCTGGTCTTGGGCCAAGGGGTTTGGAGTGTGGGAAGTGGGACAACCTGAAGGCAGGGCAATGGGGTGAGTTCTGGAGTGGCCTAGGGGATAGGGCATTTGCCTGGGGAGTGCAGGGTTGTGGGCTCGAGTCCTTCCCTCCCACACACGCACCCTTGGAGCACCTGGGCAGACAATACAGGCTATGCCAGGGATAGAGCTAGCTCCTGTATTAGGAATGTAAGGGGATTGTTAGCCCCTTACTAAAACTCAGTGGGAGTTTTTGATTGGCCAGCTCCCAGTACCAAAAGGGGAAGGGTCCATCAGAAATCAGGGCCCCTATGACTGACAGACCCCAGGGACAATGGGAAGAGGCTAACACTCCAGCTCAGCCTGATTGACAGGTTGGACAGATCAATGAAAGAATTAGATGGCCAGGTCCCGTCCTCCATGTGAGCTGGGATTTTCTAGGTCTCTGGGAGAAAAGGAGAGAGAGCTGAGAAGAGCAGCTGGAAAAGCAAGCTGTGTGGAGAGACAGACCTACAGTGACAGAGCCCAAGGAGCACAGCAAACTTGCAGTGACCAGAGAGCCAAAGGGGTCAGAGAAGCAACACAAGGAGCTGGAGTCTGGCAAAGCCGCACAGTCTGCAGCTGGGTGTGGTGAGCAGCTGGGACTAGCAAAGGAGGGAAAAGAGGCTCTGGGCAGGGACACGCCACCAGCCAAGAGGCCCTGCAGGCCAGACTTGGAGAGGGATTGTAACTAACTCGGAGAGGGGTCCTGCCACCTACAGCCTGAGGCTGTGTGGTCACTGCCAGAGCAAGCGTGTCCAACCTGCAGCACAGCCAGGGCCTGAGAAAGAGCCCTGGGACCTATAAGGAACAAACTGTGAACTGTCCTGACATGCTGCTGTTTGTAATGTCCCCGTGCTACAGAGCAGGACTGTGTGTTCTCATTTAACCTTTCTCGTTTTTCCTTATTCTTATTTTTTTAATCAGTTGTTGTTTAATAAATTGTATTTGCTTTGAACTGAGTGAAATTATCACTGGGTCAAGAAAGCATGCAGTATGCAGAGAGCACCCTGGAGCGGGGACACCCTAGCCCCTGCCCCAAGTGACTACAAGGTCGGGGATTAAGCCGCAGAAAACCTGGGCCCAGCCTTGTTGGGATTTCGAGGACTCTGCTACTCAGGAGAGTGGAAGGGGAGCCCTCAGGGTCAGGGAGGCCTTTGGGTAAAAGAAGTGGGAGAGGGGGACTCAGATCCTTTCACTGGTCCATTTCACCAGGGTAGTATAGAAGCCAGGAAAGTTCCCCACACTAGCGGGACCATTCCTCCGCTTACAGGAAGGCAGGATAAGGGACTCCTTGAAGGCAGGGAGGTGGGGTGGGTTCTGGAGTGGCCATGGGGATAGGGCATTTCCCTGGGGAGTGCAGGGGGGTGGGCTCAAGTCCTGCCCAGCCTGCCAGCCAAGACCAGTTGCCCCTGAGATGGAGCTGGCTCCCACATTAGAAAGGCAAGATAAGAGACCCTCTGAAAGCAGGGAGGTGAGGTGGGTTCTGGAGTGGCTATGGGGATAGGGCATTCACCTTGGGAGCACAGGGGGGTGGATTCAAGTCCTGACCCATCCCCTCCACCCACCCCAGGAACAAGCAAACAGACAACACAGGCTGCCCCAGGGATGGAGCTGCCCACTGTATTAGGAAGGCAGGATGGATGGAGCTGGCTCCCACATTAGAAAGGCAAGATAAGAGACCCTCTGAAAGCAGGGAGGTGAGGTGGGTTCTGGAGTGGCTATGGGGATAGGGCATTCACCTTGGGAGCACAGGGGGGTGGATTCAAGTCCTGACCCATCCCCTCCACCCACCCCAGGAACAAGCAAACAGACAACACAGGCTGCCCCAGGGATGGAGCTGCCCACTGTATTAGGAAGGCAGGATGAGGGACCTGCTGGAGGTGGGGTGGGTTCTGGAGTGGTATAGGGCATTTACCTGAAGAGCACAGGGTTGTAGGCTCAAGTCCTGCCCCCCTCCACCCACCCCAAGAGTGGCCAGACAGCTGCCCCAGGGATGGAGCAGCAGAGTCAAGGCAGGCTGACTCCTGCCTTGGCCCTGCACCACTCCTGAAAGCAGCTGGCATGTACAATGCCTCTCATCTACAGGTATACAGTTCCCCGTCATTGATCAATGGGTGCTGCAGGACACCACAGGCAAGGACACACATGGAGACCCCTGCTCTCATCTTCTCGGGGGCTGCAGGGACATGCCAGCCACTTCCAGGAGCAGCAATTCCCACAGGGATAATTACTCCAGACATGACAGGTTAGGCATTTTAGAACTCACTACTCACAAAATTAAATTTAAGCATAAGAGAGAAATGAAAGGTATGAAATGCACAGACCAGGCAAAAACCACTTTGCAAACAGTAAAAGTAGCAACAACCCCCATGTACGTGCTGGATGTAGAGATGAGAGAGAGAGAGAGAGAGAGAGTGTGTGTGTGTGTGATTTGCATTACCAAGCTCCCTCCATCCCCTTCTCTCTGTGTGGAGACAAAGTACAGGAGTTGGGGGAGGAGGGACACTCTGACATCAGTGCGGCCCCTTCTCCCTCCTGCCCAGCAAGCAGGAGGCTCCCAAGGGGCAGCTCCAAGGCAGAGGGCAGGAGCAGCATGACAGTAGGTGGAGGGGCAACTGAAGTGCCAGCACTTGAAACCTCCCCAGCCAAACCAGTCAGGGTCACCTGCCAGAAGCTCCAAGATCTACTAAACATAAAATATAATGGAGATTGCCTATCTCCTAGAATTGGAAGGGACCTTGAAAGGTCATTGAGTCCAGTCCCCTACCTTCACAGCAGGACCAAGTACCATCCCTGATGAATTTTTGCCCCAAATGGCCTCCACAAGGATTGAACTCACAACCCTGGGTTTAGCAGGCCAATGCTTAAACCACTGAGCTATCCCTCTCTACTGGTAGAGCCTGATCAACTGGTTGGTGACCACTGGCTTAGAGGACCTGTGGGGGTGAGCGGGGGAGAGTACGCTGAGACCTGACTCTGAATCCAGGCACTATAGCACATGGCTGGCACCAAAGCAGGGGAAAGCAAGAGGAAGACTGCTCATGTGCCGTGGAGTGGGGGGGGACAAGGCAGCAAATGGGGCATTGAGCAGATGGGGCAATGCGTAGGGAAGGTGGTGGGCAACTGGGAAGGGTGGAGGAAGGAGCAGAAGCTGAGGCAGGAGGAGAAGCAGGGCAAGATGGGAAGGAAAGGCAGAGGAAGAAGCTGCAGGTGGGTGGGTGAACAAACAGTTTGCAAGCCAGCAGCAAGGACCCGGCTGCTAAAACACAGTTGCAGGGAGAGGAAGGTCTGCTTCTGCTTTGATTAGCAGCTGTCTTCAATACTGGAGCTTAACTTAATCCTGAGGGGAATTTCTGCCCTGTCATGAGTCTCCCAGGACACAACTCTGGGGACAAGGGGCCTCTCCCCACACCTACACCCCACCTAGTGGGTAGGCCTGGCCCATCCAGGCGTGTCCTATGGTAACTGGTGTGATAGTGAGATTTTTGGAAGCTTGGTTGCCTCAGTTTCCCCTATATCATGCATTGCTCCCCAGTAGGGGCAAAGCACCAGTTAGCTCTATGGGCAGGCTAAGACACGTGGGACCAAGAGAGGTGGGGGACGGGGAGGGAAAGGACTGGTTGTTTGAGGCCAACCCCATGTCAGTGGAGAATCAGAGAAAGCCCCAAGACAGTGACACCA